TTTGAGCATTTGTCGTAAATTTATAGGGTTTTGAAATTTTGACGCACAATCTATTGCATTCTCATGGTATGCGTACGCGGCGGATTAAATCGTTCCAAAATGAATTGAGGCTGACAAGAGTGCTCGTATATCAGGGAAAAAACCTTAATAATCCGAATTCCCCTTAAATGATATCTATTAATTGTTGCCCAGGTGATCAAAACAATCTCAAACTTAATTGCGTTAAGAACCACTTGCTAAGCGTTACGCATGCAATTAGGCCGATCCCCGTAAAAATAATGTTAAAACACAAAAACTTGGGCAATAACATACATCAAGAGTGAAAATTTGAGTTTGAGGTTTGATAAAATAGTCTTGTTGATCAAAAGGCACAAATTTATTACAGCAACTCAGTTCAATTTGGAGCATTTTTGTAGAGCGGGATAATTGCCACGTATAAAGAACTCGCGTTACGCTTTCAGCGTCTCGCATAGAACTGTCAAGGCGGGCATGATTTTGTCCAGAACAAGTCCATTTTTTCTGCTTTTGATTTTAGGGATTCAATATCTTAAATGGGGTAATAAAAAGATGGTACAAACTTTTATTTCAAACTCGGAAAAAAACTTTTAAAAATAGTTGTATAAACTACCGCTGATATTGACTGAACAAAAACACCCCAAGCATAATAATTCCTCACATTCTTTGAAAGTCGGAAGAAAAACTCGTTTGTAGACATTATGATTTATAACTAACATGCACGCTCAACATAATTTTTTTCCCCTAGTTTTGATTCGTCAGGGGCACTACTCGTTGTGCTGCAGAACCCGTAGTTTTACACTTGATACCTTTTACATATCTGATTGTTATGTTTGTTTTATCAAATTCAAGTTCAAACAAGACTGCTCGTATCAGGGGGAAGCCCTGAATGTTCCGACTGCCTTTTAAGGTTTATGGAGCAGCAGTAATAACATTAAAAAAATTAAATGAAATAAAAAAAAAATAAATTTTTTTTTCTAAAATTTGAAATTTTTTATGAAAATCATCCCCTCACACGCCATTTTGAGTACAAAAAGATAGATTTCGTTCCTTTTAACAAATCAATTATGGCAAATAAGCTTCGTTCAACCAATTTGGAACGAGTTATAAGAAGGATTAAATCTCGGCTTACGCGTTAATAGCGCGAATTATATCGCGCGTTAATTGTCCCAAATTGGCCAAAATGGCAATCTTTAAACCCTTATAACTTTACAAAAAATGATCACAGGTGAAATATAATTTCAAATTTAAGCTCAGGACAACAATACCTTTTGAATGATATAAAAACATTCCTTCAAAAATGGCTAGTTAAAAAGTCAAAATTTGTCTGAAGAAAAAAACCCACCCCGAGCACAAATATTCCGTTACTTTTGTATCGAAAGTCGGAACAAAAAAAGTTTAAAGGTTGCCAATTTACCAGTTTGGACAATTCGGGCAAAAACATTTAACGAACGATACAATTTGTCCTTCTACAGCAAAAGCGGCTAATTAAATCATTGCATAAAGTATTGCAGTAAGCAAATTGCTCTTAATAGTATATTAACAGCCGGAAAAATATCCCTTTGTTCTTTACAGCGTATGGGGTGATGAAACGTAAGAAAATGAAATCAAAATCATTTTTTCGTTCGTATTTCTTGTTCGACAAAATTATTCATTTTACATTAAGGGTTAATCTGAACTTTCCGGGCTTCACTCTGATATGAGCAGTCTCATTCGTTTGTTGTTGTTTCCAGTTTGACTTTTCTTCTATTCGCAAATGTAATGGGTTAAGATCATTTTGTGCTACTTACACAGCTACTGGTTTCCTACGCTAAATTTTTAAAAATCTTACAAGTAAGTGAAACTAAGGCAATTTGGGAGTCAAGCGGAAAATAGCGCTCCTTTTAGGCCTAAATTTTCTGTCTTTTGAATGAGTTTTGTGAAAAAAGAAGGTAAAGGTGAACTATTTTCCTGGAAAGGTTACATGAATTTTTTACCCGAGGAAAAAATCGATTAACAGTTTTCTTTTTAATAGATTTGCTTTGTTTTTGAAAGAGCTCATATTACAATTTTTGGCAAAAAAAATTACAACCTTTCCCGGGTCGCCCACCATAGAAGATAATGAAACGAATTACAAACAAAACTCTGTTTTAAACAAACCGTGTCCGATTACCACAAGATATTTTAAAATTTGGATTTTTTCAATAGTAATTCAATTAAAAAACTTAAAACATTATTTCCATTGAAGAAAAAATTTATATGGTGGTGTTGATAATCTTTCATGTTTCTGAAATGCTTGTTTTGTTTTAGACAGTTTTATGAAAGTTATTCAGCCATCACCAGCTATGTTTTCCGGCGTCATCGGGTAAATTTTTCTACATCGGATAATAATGTGCTTTGCTTGGGAACCAAAATTTTGCTCTGAACGGCGGAAAAAGATTTTTACAACCAACGTCTTTGAGGTCGCTTAGAGCACTTTTTGGATGCCCAGGAGAATATTGAATTTATTTGATTATTCAGTTTGTATGTCGCGCCAAATATGGTTCTTTGTTAATCATATATATGTAGCGTCATATATGTTTCCATGGTATCCATACGTCGCGCCATGCATGGTAGCATAGTAACCATACGTCGCGCCATGCATGATACCATAGTAATCATACATTGCAAGCTTCCATGGTGACATATAAATTATCAGCAGTATAAATTATAAATTATCAACCCTAGTAAAAGTATCAATATTGTCTAATTTGAAGTCCTCCATACTTTAAAAAATGTGGAATCATACGTCGCGTCATGCATGGAAAATGTGTTATTTTTTAACATAAAAATACGTCGGCAATTTTTAATGGCTTCCATGAAACCATGCATGGTGCGACGTATGGTTGCACATTTTGGTCAACCCGTGTTGTTTTGGAACGTACGTTTTCTTCAATGGATGAAATTAACGCATGTTTTCTTCAGCTTTTTGCAAGTTGAAAAAAAAAACTTTGTTTTGAGCTTAAACTTGAACAAGACTGCTCGTATCAGGGCAAAGCCCTGAATGTTTGGACTGCCTTTTAAGATTTATGGAGCTACATAAAAATCACTAACACATTGAATGTAATAAAATAAAATGAAAAATTACTTTTTCTAAAATTTGAAAAAATTTTCAATGAAAATCATCCGCCCACACGCCATATAAAGTGCAAAAGAATATACTAGGCTCCCTGTAACAAATCAATTATGTCAAATAAGCTTACTTCAACCAATTTGGAACGATTTCTAAGACGGATTAAATCTCCGCTTAGGCGTTAATAGCGCGAAATATATAGCGCTTCAATTGTTCCAAATTGGCCAAAATGGCAATCTTTGAACCCCCATAACTTTACGAAAAATTTAAGCTCAGGACAACAATAGCTTTCGAATGATATAAAAAAAGTTCGTCGAAAATGGCTAGTTAAAAAGTCGAAATTTGTCTGAAGAAAAAAAACCCAAACCGAGTACAAATATTCCGTTACTTTCGTAGTGACTGGCTTTGTAATGTTATGGTGGTTTAAATATTGTCTATTTTGAGATAATTAACGCGCGATAAATTTCGTGCTGATAACATGTAAGCGGAGTTTAAATCCGTCTAAGAAACCATTCGAAATTGAATTGAGGCATGCTAATTGGTCTATTTAATAATTGTACCGAATTTCGAAAGAAGTGAGAATTATATATGCTCGGGGTGTTTTTTTTTAATTTACCAAAAAAAAGCTCATTTTCAGTTTCCCCTACCTTTGAAATTTATTTTAAAAAACTAGTTTAGGCAAACCGTTAACTGTGAACAGGTTTGTACTTGATACCTTACATCAGAATATTACGAATAAATTTGAAAAGTGGGGTAAAATGGAAAAGAGCCATCAAAAACTATTCGAGACCATTGTACGGGCAGTGAAAACATTCATTATTTTTCCCTGATGCAAGCAGTCTTGTTTGCTATATGCGAAAAATGTCACCTTGTGCGTTTCATAGCATTTTAGGGTTGGCTTTCAAAAAGTTTTTTTTCAAAAAGTTTTTGAAAAATTCTAAATATTAAAAAAAAGTTTCTGAGAAAAGATGAAAGATTTGAGCACAGACAAACATTTTTGCAGACAAACATTAACTTTTACTTGCGTATTTTACAAAAACTTTTATACCATTATAGATTTTGACGTCTTGAGTTCAAATAAAAACTATTTTATCTCTGCTTATTTTCATAGAAATATGGGTGTTCAAAATTGCAATAAGGTGACTTTGGGGCAATTAACGCCGACATATTTTGTCTAATAATGCGTAAATGCGGAAATTGGAACGGAAATATGGAAAAGCGGAAATTGGACGATTTATAGAGAAATATAAATTTTTTGGAAATCTTCGATGAAATTTTACATCCTACAGAGTTAAAGCATGCAGAGTTACAGCATGCAAATAAAAAAACGACTGATCTGTTTATGCTTTATAAAATTGTTCTACTACAATTTTCAAAATATCCCACAGAAATTTTTCAAAATATCCCGCGGAAATTTTTCAAAATACAGTTTACCCAAAATATCATTTAAAACAGCCCAACGTTGCCAGGCATAAGAGAAAAAAATTAGGTCAAAATGTTATTAATTAAAGCCAGCCGGTGAACAAAATTTGCAACATTAGCAAAGGTACTCTTACGATAATCTTACGCTAATTTCGTTATATGATTGATTTTTATCCATTTTTGTCACTGCGGGATGCAAGTAGCGCAGAGCGTTCCGAGCTCTACGATTTGAATATTCCAAAATTAAGGAAAAACATAAAAATCAAAAAATTGTCATTTTGTTTATCCAGGCTGTCTTTGAGTTAATCGAAAAAACCAACCTAACGCGATAGCTGTCCCACCCCTGTTGAGATTTGGGTCGGAAAAATTTCAAAATTCTCGTTTGCAATAACATTGCGGAACAGTTTCAAAAAAACTAATCCATGCTCAGAAACCTTCAAAAGCACAAGAAAAATTTGAATTTGATTGTCACAATTCCTCGTACGATATGAAATGATCAAGAAAGTGACAAAGAAAAAATCGAAACAAAAAATTAGGCGAATAATTTGCTAAAATTCTGTCAGGTTCAATTTCTAATCCTCAAGAGTAGTCCATGTCGTCTTCTAGGTCGAAGTCATTGCCCTCCTCGTTCGATCCCTCCTCTCCCCCCATCCCGTCTTCGTCCATGAGGAGGGGGTCCATTCCGTCCTGCTCATCTCCTGCCCCGCCTGGGTTTTCCTCCGCCCTCCTCTGCTCCGAGATCTCTTCGGCCTATAATTCAAAAGTTGAAAACATTTTCTTAGACATTGGAAATGGCTGAATTGAAGACTATATCACATTAAAGGCAGGAGCGGCGCGGGGGGGGGGGGGGTGGGGGACTTTCATAAAAATTTTGTTGGCCTGATTTTTTGGTTTGAGCGAATTGATTTACAGCGCTCTCCCAAATATAAAGCCGTATTTTGGGAAAACGTTCTGCGCCAGAGTCGATTTGCGGGAACAAGCAGAAGCGACGTTTTTAGGCGCTTTTCTGAAGTTGTAATCAAAACGCTATCCACTGAAAACCAGTTTATATTTTAATTATAAGCACATTGTTCCCTTCTCGAAAACAAATTTTTGTTAGTATTAATTATCAAATAATCGTCTGGGATGCGGCCTATAGGAGATAGTAGAAGAGTTAGCTAGAAAAGTTAATGGAGGAAAAACCGACATTTCAATTGAACCGACACGTCATTTCAACAGACATCCAATATGAGTAGATATTTGATATGAATCGATATGTCATCTGCACAGAATTTTGATTTAAGCTGAGACATGAAACGACATCTCATATGAATTGAAGACTTGTCGATTGAGCCGACGTGTCAAATCAGCCGTGATGACATATTTGAACCGAAAAGCATATAACATTGAGATACATTGACTGACCTCGACCCTCTCTTCCTCCGTGTACTCGTCCTTGTCCAGCCGCTCGATTCTCTTCCGAAGTGCAATCAGCACCTCCACTCGATAGTCGTCCTCGTCACTGATCGGACACTCCGACATCACCACACAACGCAACATCGGCAACATCTAAACGCCACAAGCAGCACTCATCATATCAATTGACGAACAATATTAAACTGTGATTTTAGAAACTATTATGAAATATGAACCGTAAACATCACACCTGTTAAATTTGTACTTTAAGTATCTTGCAAGCTCAGATGAAAGTTTGAAACTGATAGAAAAATATGAAACCGCAGAACTTTTTTTATTGAAAAAAATAAATTAACCCTTGCCAAATTACACCGGAGAAAGTGAAGAGAAAAAATTAGTACGAAACCTTGAGTTTTTGCAGCTCCTTTTTGTTTGTGATGTGATTGCTCCTCAAGTTCAAGTACTGCAGTGCCTTGTTGTTCTCATTGAAGCCGTCCAGGTGTTCGATGTGGTTGTCCCTGAGATGCAGCTGCTGCAGATTGCTCAGTTTGTCCACGTCCTCCAGGTACTTGATCACGTTTTGGGCCAAGTAGAGGTTCTTCAGAGTGGGGATGACTAAACCCTAACAAAAAATTGGTGGTATACAAACCAGCTCAAGTATAAAACAGCCGAAGTATCAACCAGTCGAAAATACAAAAGTATTATATAATAGTTATGTAACAATTATGTAAAAGTTACGTAAGCATGCAAGTTTCATTGATGTGACATGACTTAACCTTTCGGCTGGATCATATACTCCGCGCATTTTAGGTTGGTTTATACTTCGGCTGGTTTATTTGCTCTCAGATATTTAGTTGCGGTTTCATTACCCTGATTTTTTTTTCAGATTTGCGAGGAGGTATTTCCAAAACAAGTCATGACACACTTTTTTGGTTGACCAAATTAGCTTTCTGAGCTTTGTTAACTATAATTTGCCAAAAAACATACAAGGTGCCGATCACACTCCTAAATCTGCCAACTGCTATAAAAACAGAAGAGCGATTGATTGAATCACGATCTTAAATTTTATAGGTATTTCACTCATGTTTCCACAAAACAGTTCGTGACAAAAATGTTCAAAACAGCCAAGGCGCCTGAAAACGGGCTGCATAGTTCCACGGCGTTCTCGCAATGAGATTTCGTTTGGTTGTAAATGTAGTAACTTCGACAATGAATGGAATCTAATTTGCACACAATTTATTGTTGTTATATTAATAAATGCCCAAAAAAAAACAATCCAAAAACAAATCATATTGTTTCAAGCTGATTTGTGTCTGGGGATGTTTTGTTTAGGTTGTTTAGTATAAGACTGTTTTGTACATAGACAAAAGACCTTATCACAATTTAAGTTTGTTTGAAGGCTTCTGTGCTGTGAAATCGGTTGATGGACTTGCCTTGGTGCTCCGCAGTTGGTTGCTTCTCAGCTCCAAAGTGTGCAGCATTGTCATGTTGAGAGCGGTAAAGGAAGTGAGTGAGTTGATCTTATTGTATGACAGGTGAAGTACTTCCAGAAGGGGGTGATCCACGCCTGAAACATCATTTTGATCCAAAACGGCAACCAGCGTTGATAACGACTACGCTTTTTATAAATCAGCAAACTACACCTGCAGAAGCGACGAGAGCGGTTGGTAACTTGTATAAGGAGGTTGGAGACCAGGTCGAGGTCCCAGACTCAGGTCCAGTCTTTGTGGGTCGCGCCGCATCCGGATTCACATACAAATTGCAGGTTCGCGCCGAGTCTGAGTCTGGACATTAGTCGCGCCGTGGGTCGTGAAAGTGTGAACATACCAAAATTTGGTCGCGATAGTCTGAACATGCGTCGCGAAAATCTGGACACACTTTTTCCAGACTTTCGCGACTCATGTCCTGAGTTTTCTGACCTTATGTTCAGACTTTCCAGACTCAAACTCTCGGTGCGACTATAGAGTTTGTATCGCGATCCGGATGTGGCTCAACCCAAGGCGAAACTTTATGTCAAGATTTTCCTCGCGACCGAGGTGGCTATGGCGCGACTTTCGCTTTCGCGACAAGGGCGGCGATGGCGCAATTTTCCAGACCAAGGCGGATACCAGCAATGTCAAAGAGTTTTTGAAGAATAATCATTTTTTGGAAAAGTCATGTTTTTTTTTTAAAATTGCAAGACACTGGTACAACCTCTGATGAAGATATTCGTTCCTTAAGCGCCTATAGAAAACATTAAGGACTGTTATGAGCAAAAGTTATTTCTGAACTGTTTTCTGACCAAACGACTGAGCGCATCGCTTTAAAAAAGATAATCAAAACGATTGAAATAAGGCGCACAAATTTGTCAATTATATTTAAATGAACTTGGAAAAATTGTAACCACAAATTTATTACGTAACTGGCACATACCCTCAGCGGCGACAATTTTATTCTTGGAGAAATTGGCCGACTGCAGATAGGGCAACTGGGCGAGGGCGGGCGATGTCAGAAGGTTCCGATCACTCTTCAAAGTGAGCATGTGAGTCAAACAGTTGAGCGGGGAGATGTCTTTGATACTGTTGCTCGAAATGTCAATGTAGCGTAAATGTACAAATGTAGACAACATCGTTATATTTGTCAACTCCTGAAACATTTTCGGAATATAACTCACTCGACCAGATCGATTCTCTGAGTGGTCATAATCTATTTAATGATTTTACACTTTTCAAGACTTACTGGTAATCATTTCTCAAGAATAATTGGTGTGTTGGCTTTAAAAGAATATGTTGTCTTTAAAGAACAAAAGGTTTTTGAATTTAGTCATTATTTGGGGGCAAATGCTATTGCCATTTGAGTCTGACCTGTGAAAATCAGTTCCAGTCGATTTCAATTTCAGCCCAGTCAATTTCAGGCTTGATTCAGTATAGTTCGATTCAGTATAATGTCGCTGTAAATCGCTTCGGATTTTAAATTTATAGCTTCGTAGAAGAAAAAGTTCATCCGAAAGTAAGGCCTCGTTTTAAGTGGTCGTAATAAAAAAGTTTTAAGTTTATTTACCTAATGTAATAAACGTTTTTCTTAACCTTGTCATGGACGTCTAGTCTGACGTATGCGTGTGCGAGGCCAGTGCCCACTTTGCAGAGGAGAGAGATGCTCTGGCTGATGACCTCCAGAGTGAGGGGCTTCGTCAGGGTCTTGTCCTCCTCCAGCTGTTCCTGACAAGGGACATCATCATATTTTCAAACAACCAAAAGTACAGCAATCAGACATTATTTGACTTTTTCAAATTACTTCAAAACTCTATTTTCATTTTGAAAAAATAACATTTCTACTTAACAAGCATGCTCAATACTTCAAGCCTGTCTGATAATTTACAAATTATCAGGTTTTGAAGTTAAAAAAACAATTTAATTCATTGTATATAACAGACACAACACTGCTCGTATCAAGCCCTGAATGTTCCAACTACCTTTAAGGTCCTTAGAGTAGTGTTCACTTATCAAAAAATGATAAGCTTTCAACAAAAAAATCTATATCTATTTAATTTATTTTCATCGATTTTTTGTGGAAATCATCGCCACACACTAACTATGTAAAGAACAAAGTATATAGCAAAGTATCAAATAGATGAGATAGCATGCCTCAGTTCAAGCTCGAAAGATCAATACGGAAGAGGGATTAAATATTCGCTAACGCGTTAACTACAAAAATATATCGCGCGTTAATTATCCAAAATTGGCCAAGCTGGCAATCTTTAAAACCCGATAACTTTACAAAAAATGATCACATGTAAAATATATTTTAAATCTGAGCTCAGTACACCAATATTTTTTGGCTGATATAAAAAAATTACGTAAAAATGGCTAGTTAATAAGTCTAAATTTGCCTGGAGAAAAAAACCACCCCCAGCACAAATATTCCGTCATTTTTTAAAAGAATTTCTGAAAAACAAGACTGCTTGTATATCGGGGCGAAACACTGAAATCTCCAACAGCATTTCAAGGCCAAAGAGAAATCTTGTGGCAGAAACTTTGTTTAATTTTTGTTTTTATTTTACTTCTTTTTTATTTTACTTCTACAATAACTACATAGGGATGTATTTAGCTTCTCGTATCCTAACGGTAAGACATAATAAACTTGCAACAAATCAAATTGCAGCAAAATATTGCGCGTTAATTATCCTAATTTAGCCAAATTAGCAATTTCTAAACCCATATTTTTACAAGAAAAAAAGATTTCTCCTAACAAACTTTCAACCAATTTTCTAAATATGAAAAGTCTCGCCAAGTAATGAACACGCACGGCACCTAATTATCTTTTTCTCAACTTAAAACTAGAGACACTATTGTTTATTGAAAACATTGCACAAAGCAGCAATTCTATAGAAAGACCATGATTCTGTACAGAATCAAAGCATGAATTAAGAATGAATGGATGTAAAATCTTCCGTGCAGAAAAAGCCATTTATTATTAACAGTTTCCAGGAAAGTCACGAAATGTTTGTGCTAGGGTAACTTTATTTTTCCAGGCAAAAATCGATTTTTAATTAATAGTTTTTGATGGAATTTTTTTTAGCTGTCTTGAGCTCCAATTAAAAAAAATGATTTTTGAGCATTTGTCGTAAGATTATAGGGTTTTGAAATTTTGACGCACAATCTCTTGCATTCTCATGGTATGCGTAAGCGGCGGATTAAATCGTTCCAAAATGAATTGAGGCTGACAAGAGTGCTCGTATATAAAGGAAAAAACCTTAATAATCCGAATTCCCCTTAAATGATATCTATTAATTGTTGCCCAGGTGATCAAAACAAACTCAAATTTAATTGCGTTAAGAACCACTTGCTAAGCGCTACGCATGCAATTAGGCCGGTCCCCGTAAAGATAATGTTGAAACACAAAAACTTGGGCAATAAGATACATCAAGAGTGAAAATTTGAGTTTGAGTTTTGATAAAATATTCTGCAACTCAGTTCAATTTGGAGCATTTTTGTAGAGTGGGATAATTGCTACATATAAAGAACTCGCGTTACGCTTTCAGCGTCTCGCATAGAACTTTCAAGGCGGGTTTAATTTTGTCAAGAACAAGACCATTTTTTCCACTTTTGAATGTAGGGATTCAATGTTTTCAATGGGGTAATAAAATGATGGTACAAACTTTAATTTCAAACTCGGAAGAAAACTTTTCAAAATGTTGGTATAAACTACCGCTGATATTGACTGAACAAAAAAAAATCCCCCAGCATAATAATTCCGCACATTGTTTGAAAGTCAGAAGAAAAATGTCAGTCGATTGTAGAAATTATGATTTATAACTAATATGCACGCTTAAAATAATTTGTTTCCCCTATTTTTGATTTGCCAGGGGCACTACTCGTTGTGCTCCAGAACCCGTAGTTTTACACTTGATACTTTTTACATTTCCGATTGTTATGTTTGTTTTATCAAATTCAAATTCAAACGAGACTGCTCGTATCAGGGCGAAGCTCTGAATGTTCCGAATGCCTTTTAAGGTTTTTGGAGCAGTAATAACATTAAAAAATTGAATGTAATAAAACAAAAGGAAATTTTTTTTCTTCTAAAATTTGAATATTTTTATGAAAATCATCCTTCCACACGCCATATAAAGTACAAAAGGATAGATTTTGTAACAAATCAATTATGGCAAATAAGCTTCCTTGAACCAATTTGGAACAATTTCTAAGACGGATTAGCTCTCCGCTTACGCGTTAATAGCGCGAAATATATCGCGATTAATTGTCCCAAATTGGTCATAATGGCAATCTTTAAACCCCCATAACTTTACGAAAAATAATCACAGGTGAAATATCTTTTCAAATTTAAGCTCAAGACAACAATAACTTTCGAATGATATTTAAAAAATTCCGTCAAAAATGGCTGGTTAAAAATTCGAAATTCGTCTGAAAAAAAACCCACCCCGAGCACAAATATTCCGTTATTTTCGTATCAAAAGTCGGAACAATAAGTGGATAAGATATAAGTCACAAGACCCAACAGTCACCTATTTATTGTTGTAAACTAGTCCTATTGTTTGTTGGTATGTTCTTGCCGTAGCATTAAGTGAGAGCTTATAGTGAAAGAACCCTTGTTGAACTTAGTACAATCTAAATTATAGATGTAACATGCCTTCAGAGCCAATCAAGTAGTATTGTATCGTGTCCCGGATCCTAAGGGGGGGTCCTTCCTAAGGGGGGGGGTCCTCACGTAAAGCAAAATCCTAGGAAAGGGGTCCTTAATTTTTTGGAGGACCCCTATCCTAGGATTTTGTAAATGATCGCAAGTTCCCACCCCTAAAGTAAAAGACCCCCTCCTTAGGATCTTGTTAAGCTGAGCTCAACAACCGGGACGCGATACAATAATTCCTTCTAATTCCTTTGAAAGCGGTCCCTTTTCCCGCGATAATTAAAATTAATCGTCCTAATTCCTGAACTTTTCTTTTTTTGTCCTAGTTTCATGTGGATATCATTTCCTGGCTTTCTTTTTTTCGTCAAAGATTTGTCATGCTATTAAAGTTTGTTATTGAAAACAAGCCTAAGGATTTCACACATTTGTTTGAATTAACACTTGGTTTGCGTCTACTAGTTTATTTGCCTGAAGCTATTTATGTTAAAACAGTGATTGAGCTCAATACGAGTATTTTATTAGTTGTAAATTGGTAAAAACCAAAACATATACAACTCGAAGTATAAAAAGGACGAACAGTAAAAATCATCTGAAAATATATGTTTCAGACTTTAATGTTTATTGTTTTGGTTTTCTTTGCGCTGTTTTTTAGATGGTCGTTCTTCTGAAGCTTCAGATAAAATAAATGGGTTTTTTATAGGGGGACCTTCACGGACTCGGCTACTAGAAGCTTCTTCTTCTTCTTGCAGCTCTGCTTCTGAGTGGGGCCGCTGTAAAAATCCCCAATCCGGAAGTGTAAAATCGGGAGAACTGTTATCAGTTTCATTGTATGAGTTGGCCCACTCGGTGTCCATGTAAATGTCTTCTAGAAAAGCATTTTCTTCAGCGGCTTTATGGCCAAAGGGCACTGTCGAAATTCCGTCGAAAAGTAGAAAACCTTTTAAGTCGAATGGTGATAATGCAAGTTTATTTAGTTTCACTGTCATATTGGTGTGACCTTTCGAAACTATATTATAGTTGTACACTCTCATTGTTTTTCCAGTGAATAATGTGTCCCTGAAGGTTTGGTGGACCAGTTCTCTCTGTGCACTCCGTTTAATTCCTTTGGCACTCAATTTTTGAGTGCCTTCTAAACAGAAGCAAAATTATTATTCTTTTCTACAACGTAGGGGATAGCTTCATTTCACTTCAGCAACTCAATTTATACCGAACAAAATTTGATTCATTTTACCAAAAAAGAGCAGAAGACTCTAAATTATGATTAAAAAAGAGGAAAAAAGAGGGAATATGTGGTCAGATAAATCAACATTTAGGCAACATTGTATAATGTTGCCTAAATCAGCTAAATGCCCATAGTTTAATGCAACAAATTAAGGGGTGTAGGTAGGTTCGTGGTGGTAATTTTGTTCTGTAAAAGGTAGGAATGGGGGGTGGAAGGGTGGCTTAAAATTTATTTACCATTAAGGACGACCGAATATAGTTTCGGTTTTAGGGCGATGAATTCTCTGATCGGCTTCCCACCAGTCTCGTCTTTGAACTTCAGCACAACTTTCTTGTTGGTATCCTCGAACAAGAAATGGTCCTTATCGTAATTTGAAAAGTCGAAATCAGCTTTTATTTTCTCCAAGTCTCGGTAAACGTCATCAGTTTTTATAGCGTAAATAAAACTATCCGTGTCGGAGTAAAGGAGTTCCAAGTTTAGATTTGGTTTCATTTTTTGATAATGAAACTGAAACATGAAACGCTTGGCGAGGTCTAGGATGGCCGCACCAACTATCATAGGTTTATCCCACAATATTTTTGTTACTGAAAAACTAATTGTGGCTAATTGATCGTCAATGATTTGAAAGCTTTTCATTGTGCTCAGAGCTGTTTTTTGTAAAAGTTCTCTCTCATTCCTTACAATCTCCAGCTTCTTTCTTCCTAACTTAGACTCCATTGTCTTACCGAAAGCTGAATTAACAATTAGCTTGTAGAAGTTCTCCTGGAATTTATTTACCGCGGCTTTTCGTAGGCGGGTGTTGAGGTCGACAAAGGGTGCCATCCAGTGACTTTGGCGGAACTGAAGAACTTT